GTAATCGCTACAGAAAAATAAAACAAATTACAGAAATACAAAACAAAGTTACAGAAGTGGAAGTGGGAAGGTTTTTGTATTTTGACTGTAAAGCGTAAACACTCTTCATTCACGTACTCCAGACAAACGTTAAGTTTCGCATGAACATTAAACATCTTTTGAAACATTGTTGAGGCGAGAGATACAATAACTAAATCCGTAGCTGAAAAATTAAAGCTATCAGCCAAAAATCTGTTAAAGCTATCTGCGAGCGAATTTCTAAAGGCAAATCAAGCTCCTAGTGAGACGCGTGTGATGGGTCTTTCTTCAAAATTTCAAATTACAAATCTTACAACACGTAGCCCGAGTAAAAATTTCCTGCGACTGGTGAAAACTTTCCTGCGAGCGCCGCTCGCGTGCTCGCCTATTTTTTCCACCCCTGATAAAATGAATTCCTTGATTCTCATCACCGCCCGACTGAATTTTAAAATCCTCGTGAAAATGTTTTATATTTCGTTATACAATATAAATGTACCGCCCGACAAAATAATTCAAGACAGTTAATTTTTTTGTATTTTATATAGGGTTTTTATTGCCATTTTAAACTTCCAATTTGAAACAAACAGAATTTTGAATGAAATTTCATTGTATTTTAATTAAAGAATCTCAGTCATCTGTCTTGTTCGTGGAGATACGAACTATTGATCTATAAATTATATAGAGAATAATACATGGGTGCGCGGAAATACCTTACTTTCAAAGACTGTCCTTTATATAATAAACAGAAAAATACATGGGTGCTTGGAAATACCAGATTTATTTCGAGTGTTGAACATGATATCTCGCTCGTTCGCTGCGCGCGCTCACTCGTGAGATATCATGTTCAACACTCGAAATAAATCTGGTATTTCCAAGCACTAATGTGTTTTTCTGTTTATTATATAAAGGTCAGTCTTTGAAAGGCGATAATTTTTACAGAAAAGTGATAATTGAAAAGCGATAATTTTCACATGTGAGATTATCATGAATAATCTCACATGTGAGATTATCACTTTTATCAGTGCTCGAAGTAATATATGAACAACGAGAGCGAATGTTTCACCGGGATATCCAAACACGAGAAAACAATGTATGAGAACACGAGCGCGAAGCGCGAGTGTTTTCATACATTGTTTTCGAGTGTTTGGATATCCCGGTGAGACACGAGCTCGAGTTGTTTATATGGCTTCTCAAATGAATCGAGACGTAACAGAATGTTTTCGTTAGCTGCCTTAACTGGCGGTGGTTTAATAAGCTCAAAATACGAAGCATGCAAGTCTATACTATAGATTCATCATCAGTCGACAACCAAACTGAAAGTTTTGAACCTTATAGAACGATAGTTTTTATTTGTTTACAACTATACATATTCAACGGGTATATAAGAGTTTAACTGTTATTTGATAATTACTGCATCAACCGGCCCCTTGTTTATACTTTGGAGGTTCGTATATATTATAAATATCTATCAAGTATCTTTGGTTCAGAACATGATAGGCCTATATGAAAATCCCACCGTTCGATTCAGTGAAGAAATATCTCCTAATTTCTATCGATAGTTTTAGTAAAATGTCAACATTATTGCGATTTATGGCCTTTGAAAGTCAAGCGAGATCGTATATTATTATCAAACAAGACGCTCTACGGAGCGTTAACTCGCTGGGGCTATACAAATACGCACATTACTGTACATGATCACACACCGATCGACACACACGGATCGACATTCTTTGCATAAACGAAACTAGATTAGACAATACAATAAACGACAATATTATTAAGGAACCAGGTTATGATATTATGCCGGGGTTACGAGACCGAGATCGAAATGGTGGCGGTGTAGCAATTTATATAAGAAGTATCATTAGTTATAAAAGCCATATCGAATTCATTCCAGACAACTTTATGTCAACTTAGAATCTATTTGTCTCGAAATTCAAAAACCTAAGTCAAAACCACTCTTAATTGTTACATGGTATCGTCCACCAAATTCTAATACTAGCATATTAAACGACTTCGAAACGTTACTGCGAAAACTAGATGATACAAATATTGATATTATTATCACTGGCGACCTAAATTGCGATATGATGGCAAACAGTCCCATGCACTCATCATACAAAAAGGTTATCCGATCTGATAAATGAGTTTCAGCTAAAGCAACACATTACAAGTCCGACCAGAATAACGACAACATCTAAAACATTAATTGACATAATAATGACTAAAGCAAGCGATACCAAAATTATAGACTCTGGAGTGATACATTTAGGACTGAGTGATCACAGTTTAGTGTACATTTGCCGCAAAGTAGGAATACCAAGGGCTGAACCAAAAATTGTAGAAACAAGGCAGTTTAAATACTTTAATTCATCTGCATTTCAATACGACTTAAAAATGGCATTTCAAAGACACTACAACCTCTACAATAATTATGCCGACCCAAATCATGCGTGGGAGGTATATATGGAAAACTATTTTTCTTGATATTGCAAATATGCATGCTCCACTTCGAATTCGGAAAGTCAAAAGTGAGCACTGTCCTTGGATAACAAACGAAATAAAAAACCTTGCGCATCATAAATTCTACTTGAAACAAAAAGCAGTCAAATTTAACTCTTCTAATTACCACGAAGCTTATAAACGTTGTAGAAATGAACTTAACAAAAGAATCAAAGCAACTAAGGTTCAATTTTACAACACTAAACTACAAAACAGTAAAAATAGTAAAGAAGGTTGGAATACATTAAATAATCTGCTTAACAGGAAATCCAAAACCACAATTGTTAATGAACTTAGCGTAGACCATGGAAAAAATGTAAAGGCCGGCGCACACTAGAGCTATGTGCTTAGCAAAATGTCATTCGTGACTGTTGGCGTAAGGAGATAGCTCTCGTGTGCGGGCGATTTACGAACGACTTTTGTCATTCGTGCCACTTACGCCAAATATCTAACATGTTTGATAATTTCTGCCTCGCGTGCCAAAATCTTTCCGTGTGCGGCGAACGAAAGCTATCTGCTTACGGATTGTCGTAACAGCGCATGCGTAGTATACGAAAGTAAATATCCAAGATGGCGGCGCAAAATGAATTGCTGGCCGAGGCAATTTTAGAGGACAAACTTGTCGAATTTTGGCCTGAATATAAATGTTTATACGATGTGAGTTCTGCAGATTTTAGAAATAGGGACAAAAGGGAATGTGCGGTGAAAGAAATAGTCAGTAAGTTTGTCCTCTAAAATTGCCTCGGCCAGTAATTCATTTTGCGCCGCCATCTTGGATGTTTACTTTCGTATACTACGCATGCGCTGTTACGACAATCCGTAAGCAGATAGCTTTCGTTCGCCGCACACGGAAAGATTTTGGCGCGCGAGGCAGAAATTATCAAACATGTTAGATATTTGGCGTAAGTGGCACGAATGACAAAAGTCGTTCGTAAATCGCCCGCACACGAGAGCTATCTCCTTACGCCAACAGTCACGAATGACATTTTGCTAAGCACATAGCTCTAGTGTGCGCCGGCCTTAACACAAGATAAAGATATAGTCGACGAGTTTAATAAATTCTTCACTTCTATAGGTCCCAAATTAGCAAATAACATTGCTGACAATGGCTGTAGTCCTGATCCTTTGTCATATATAGACCAAGTCATAGCATATCAAGCTATGAGCTGAAAAGAGAAATACAAAATGTGCAAATGCCAAAATCTACAGGTCTAGATACGATCTCAACTAAGCTAATAAAACAGGCAGGCGATACAATAACTGAATCACTTCTAGAAGTGTTTAACCTATCTCTTAGGACAGGAATATTTCCAGATGATTGGAAATTTGCCAAAGTGACTCCAATATATAAGTCAGAAAACAAAACCTTATGTGAAAACTATAGACCGATATCAGTCATTTCGAATATCGCCAAAATATTTGAGAAATTAGTCTGTAGACAACTAAATACCTTCCTGGATAACAACAACATAATTGTAAAAAATCAATCAGGTTTCCGTCGCAATCACTCAACCGAAACCTCGTTACTACAATCTACTGAAATGTGGTTGAAATCAATGGACCAGGGTCAAATAAATGGGGTTATTTTCTTAGACCTGAAAAAAGCATTTGATACGATTGATCACCAGATTCTATTGTCAAAACTACAAGCTCATGGGATACGCGACCACACGCTCAAATGGTTCCAATCGTATTTAGATCAAAGAAAGCAAATTTGCATGCTAAATAACTGTAAATCTGATATTGAAACAATTCGTTGTGGAGTACCTCAGGGTTCAAATCTTGGACCTCTATTATTTCTCATTTACATAAACGACCTCCCTAACTGCCTAGAAACAACACACTCTAATTTATTTGCTGATGACACAATTTTATCACGTCAAGGGCATTTATCCATAGATATTGAATACAAACTTAACAAAGACCTAGTAAATGCTCAAAAATGGTTATCAGCGAATAAACTAACATTAAACAACGAAAAAACCAAATATATGATTATTGGATCTCGGCAACGATTAAAAAACTTAGATCACGTGCCAAAAAAACAGTATAAACGGACATCAAATTGAACGAGTTTATAAAAAGGAAGCTTTGGGTATAGTTATAGACGATAGACTTAGCTGGAATAGGCAAAATGAAGAACAATGCAACAAGATATCAAAAAATATTAATCTTTTAAGAAAAGCCAAAGATTTTGTTGGCCTAGATAGTAGATACGCTCAAAATTATGTATAACGCATTAGTCGCGCCTCATTTTAACTACTGTTCAACTGTTTGGCAAAATAACAACCAAACACACTTAGACAAATTATATATAAGCTTCAGAAACGAGCAGCAAGAATAATAACAAATTCGGACTATACTATAAGATCTTCGGACATTTTTCAAAAACTTAGCTGGAAACCTCTTGACTTAATTTTGAAAAAGCGAGATCTCCTTATGGCATTTAAAGCGATTAATGGCATGCTTCCAGAATACGTAACACAACTATTTCACACTTGTGAAAACAATGGCTACGTCACTGCGTTGTAGTAATTTAAAGCTGTCTCAACCTAAACCAAAAACGAATTTCTTGAAAAATTGCTTTTCGTACAGAGGAGCAGCGTATTGGAACAACATCCCAGTAAACTTGTTAAAACCCTAAGAGAATCAACAAGTTTAAAATCTGTCCATCATCTATTAAATAATTACATCTTGTAAATAAGTAAATAAGTATATTTTGTAAATAAGTATAATTTAGTTTATTAGTTCCTTCTTTTATAATGCATTTATTTTCCGCACGGCCCTTTGAAAATCACCTATGTGAAAGGTTACCGTGTTTAAAGATCAATAATAATAATAATACCACCAATACAATGCGGAAAAGTCGAAAACGAGCGCGAAAGGCTTAACACACTACTCAAATGCGGTAGGCCCTACCCTACACAATACCCTACACTACAAGTAAAGTTATATTCAACCTCGCAGCGCAGGCTGAAAGACCATGGCTTGCAAGGTTGAGTTATATCTAGTACGTTGCAATCCTTCTTCAAGAACTGTCAGCCGCCAGTTGGTCCGTACGCTAGGCCACAGGCTAGGCCTAGGATTAAATTGCGCTTTAAAACGTTCAAAATAAAATTTTTTTGAGCTCAAAATACTACAAAATGAAGACTGGAGAGAGACGAATCCACTGGTATACGGCCGAAAAAGAGAAAACCAATGATACCAAAGTTATCAAGGATAAAACGTACTGTATTTTTAATTAATAATTTTGAGCGATTTATCAAGAACACAATTTCGCTTGATTTTCAAAGACAAAGGCCATAAATCCGCTAGAATACGGTTGTTTAGTAATACATTTGACATCCGTATTAAATTAGTACAATTTCTAACGCTGAATATGGAACGGTGGATATATCCTTATGGCGCCATTTAATAGGCATTACAAAACACTATGAAACGTACTGCGAGCTATTTGTCAACAATTACGTAAACAATACAATTTGACCAGGGATGGATATAAGAAGATTTTTTCAAAAAAAAAATCTTCTTAATTCTTATATTTATTATAAGAAGATTTAAGGGAATATAAGAAGATAATTACTAATTACCAGGCTCTTTCATTTTTCCAAGATGGCGGAAATATGGCAGATATATACTTTAATATTGTATTATTTATTAAAATATGTGAAACAAGACTACCAAGTCGGGGATTGAAATCAAAATTAAAACATTAAATACATTTCCTTGGCTGGTGGGTAAATACTATAATAAGTTATATAACCTACTACGTACATTGAATATTTATATTATGAATTATGAATAATAGGTAAATTTGTTGATTTTACAATTTCAAATCCTTTTTATAATTTACACGAAGCTATAGTCTTAAAATAATATAAGAAGATATAAGAAGAATTTTGGTCAAAATTAAAATCTTTTTATAATAATATAAGAAGATATAAGAAGAAATAATATAAGAAGATTTGCCATCCCTGAATTTGACCAATTTCGCTTGATTTTCAAAGGCCATAAATCGCTAGAGAATACTGCTGTTTTGTAATACATTTGACATCCGTGAGTACAACTTCTTACGCTGAATCGAACGGTGGTATTTTTATCCTTATTGCGCCATTTAATAGGCATTACAAATACAAGAACCTGAAGAACGTTTGTAGCGCGAGTGATTTCCCAACAATAGTATACGTACTGCGAACGATTTATCAACAAATACAATGTCGCTTGATTTTCAAAGGCCATAAATCGCTAGAATACTAGTGTTTTGTAATACACTTGACATCCGTAAGTACAATTTCTTACGCTGAATCGAACAGTGTTGCTTCGGTTCTCTATAAAACTTTATAAACTTTATACTTGCGAATTGCGAAGGTTGCATTCTCGTACCTCTGGGTACGAGAATGCGAAGGTTGCTGTTTCCATGCGAAATTCCTTGTAAAATTGTTCAATTTTCCCGAATTTTCCTCAAAATGCAGGGTTATTTATGGATAATTTGGGTAAAATTGGCAGAAGCCTTATGGATAATGGACAACTTGCATGTTAGACTAAATTTTAATCTAAGCAGAGAAAAGGGAATCAAACACCACAGCTAAAAAGAACATACTGAAATTAGTAAAAGTGCAAAATTTGGTTGCGAAATGTTGTAAAGCTTAGAAAATATAGCCTTGCAAAGTTTGCAAATTTTCAAGTATATTTGTATTACGAGCGGAAATTGTTACCATTTTCGGCTCAAAAATGGTAACAATTTCCGCACGTAATACAAATATACTGAAAATATGCAAACTTTGCAAAGCTATATTTTCCAAGCTTTACAACATTTCGCAACCAAATTTTGCAAGTTTACTAATTTTAATAAGTTCTTAACGGTAATTTACTTTTTTTGTGCCTAGATCGGCTAGATAAAAAAATTGTCTAACATGCAAGTTGTCTATTAGGGGAAAAATTAGGCAACTCATTAATATTCTATTTTGTGGCTATCAACGACGATCGGAAATCTGACATCTGACATCCACCACGCGTGCCGAAACCTATACTCGCCAGGGCACAGAGTGCCCCAGCGAGTAATTAATACGCATGTAATTGTCTCAACGAAAATATAGACTACATGTAGCCCATACCTTTCGCCGATCATAACTTCGGCCCCCTTCGGACGTATCTTCTTTGTTAAATATTCTTGTTCGAATCGCTATCAAAAACACTACTTAGAGTGTTATTTTTCAGCTTGTATCTTTATATTTGCTTCTTTTATTATGGTATTCCATTTCTGGTCTGACTTGACGTGAACTAATTTCAAAACGCAGAGTTTCAAAACGTCAAAACATTTGGTTAATGATTAACATTTAACCGAATTTAGCCGTTGATTGACAACTACATAAAAATACTAACCAATCCGTTTTTTCCGTTCACCAGCGGACGGGTAATTCAAAAACCCCTAGTTTTGCGGCAGACGGTATTTCCTTTGACTCCCTAATTTTCGCTGCCTGTAGAAATACCGCCTGCCACGCAGGCTACTGCATCATGTAAACAGTCACCCGGGACTACTATAAGTTTCTATAATAGCCGGGATCTCGCCATTGCCGAGTAACTCGCCTTGCCGGGTAACACGCCTCCATATAAACAGGCCCTAAATGTGCCTATTTTTATAGCCCCAGCGACTCAGTAGTCTGTGGAACGTTTTGTTACTAAAATTTGGCGAAAAGTGACCAACTAGACCTTTCCGGTAATTACATCACGAACACTGTTTTCAACTTAGAGGGCCCCCTATACCTCTTCATAATATGCTTTCACGTAAAAATATTTTGCCTTTTCACGAGTCACGGATTAAGAAAATCATCGATCACGTTTCACGGCTAAGTAAAATAAGCCCTTCACGCTTCACGCAAAAATTATAGGGGGTCCGATAACGTTTCACGGCTAAGTAAAATAAGCCTTCACGCTTCACGCAAAAAGTATAGGGGGCCCTCAACTTAGGACCGCCTTAAATGGAATGGATTTTATTATTTTATGTTTGTTTCTCACGGGCTATGGTCAGAGGAGCAGAACATCCTTCTTCAACACATGCATAAAAAAGAATTTTAGATTTTGACCAATAAATGTGGAAATAAGCTTAACCACGAGAACGGCTGAGGGGCTAAGAGGGGCCCTCAGCTTCGTTTACGTGTTTAAGCTTATTTATGTGTTCAGGAAGGAACAAACTTGAAAGGATATTCCATTTTAAAGGTGGTCCTAAGTTGAAAACAGTGTAGTTGTGACGTAATTACCGGAAAGGCCTATTTGACCAAAAGCACAATATTTTAACAAATCTCCAGTGGTCACATACCATAGATATCTTATATATCTATGTCACATACTTTCGTATGGTTGTGCATGAATAAAAATAATTTGCATTGCATTGCGGGAATGTTCCATATTAGCCTCCTCCGCAGGCATCTCGCGGTACTTTTAACACAATCAGAAAAACATCAGTCATTTGAATAACTAAATTATATACTCTGAGTAATTCCACCTCTACTTTCGACGATTAAGACATGCCTGCGGAGGAGGCTAGTTTCCCCATATACAGAGGTGACTAATTCCATAGCCCCAGCGAATCAATGCTCTGTGGAACGTTTTGTTACTAAAATTTGGCGAAAATCAACCACATTTGACCAAAAGCACAATATTTTACCAAACTCTGAATAAAATGCGCAATGAGTCGCATTGCATTGCGGGAAGGTCCCCAACATGCTCGGAATGTGGTGATGCTTTGCGTGTGCTTTGTGGTGCTCTGAATTGTTGTTAGTGCCTTGGGCTGTTGGGCAATTGTAGTCATTTCAATCTATTGCAATCCGACGTTTTGGGAACGGTTTTAACATATTTTTTTACAATATCTATGCACAAGAATCTGGACAAAGTACGAAATAAACGAGTGGTAACGAAAACGCGAAGAGAAAGTTTGCCGAACGGTCCAACGACGAAAACAGTCGCCACCAATAACCACAATGTTCAGACATTTGACGCTTTGCTGACAAAGTTTATATGGTAAGAAGTTCTTTAGTGCTTTGATTTGTATTTAGCTCTGAAAATAACTCGCCAAACCAACGTTTTAGTGGAGATGGAGAGAAATTGAGCTTAAAATATAGAGATTAAATGACGTGTAACTGAGAGCGCTTTCCATGTAATGTGCCCAGTAAATTTTTGTCTCTGTATCAATGGAAAGATCAAGTCTGTTTCTCAAATATCTGGCGAATATGGAATCAATCTAATGTTCGTATCTAAATTTTCCGGTCAGATTGGGTCCAAAGCCCAAACGTTTTGTGTTCCATTCAACAATTTGACCATTCTTAATACTAGTCTGGCCGTGTATAAATATTGGAAGCGCCCTGATTCTTCTAAGCTAGCTAAAATTTTTATTTCAAATGGGTGCCCAGACTCAAGATCAAACTAGAATGAGTCGTATTGTTACAGGAGACATTTGAAGCTCTAGATATTAACAAAATAACGGTTTGTTTTAACTCGAATTACAGTAAGTTTTAACCTAAATACACTACTGCTATTGTTTGAGAAAGCATCTCAGAACAACTAGCCAAAGGCGTGACAAGCTGTCCTAGCTGCCAATATACAATTCCATTATAGACTAATTTTAAAACTAGGCAAGGAGATGCAAATAAATTACCACAGCTAGAAAGAGCATACTAAAATAAGTCAAATTGCAAAGTTTGGTTGCGAAATGTTGTAAAATGCGGAAAATATAGCCTTGCAAAGTTTGCAAATTTTGTATACTTTTGTATTGGGCTATTCCATTTAATATCCGTGCACCCCCTGTCGAGGATACATGTTTTTTATGGTTATACCCCTGAAGAATTCCAAGCTCAAAACCTTTTACCCCTGAAGAATTTCAAGCTCAAAACCCTTTACCCCTGAAGAATTCCAAGCTCAAAACCTTTTAGCCCTGAAGAATTCCAAAATTCCAAGCTCAAAACCCTTTACCCCTGAAGAATTCCAAGCTCAAAACCTTTTACCCCTGAAGAATTCCAAGCTCAAAACCCTTTACCCCTGAAGAATTCCAAACTCAAAACCCTTTACTCCTGAAAAATTCCAAGCTCAAAACCTTTTACCCCTGAAGAATTCCAAGCAGAAAAGCCTTTACCCCTGAAGAATTCCAAGCTCTGAAAAATTTCAAATCAAACCTCCTTACCCCTGAAGAATTCCAAGCTCAAAACCCTTTACCCCTGAAGAATTCCAACCTCAAAACACTTTACCCCTGAAGAATTCCAAGCTCAAAACACTTTACCCCTGAAGAATTCCAAGCTCAAAACCCTTTACCCCTGAAGAATTCCAGGGATCCTCGACAGGGGGGGGGTACGGATATTAAATGGAATGGCCCATTTTCGGCACAAATGTGGTGCAATTTCCGCACACATTTGCAAGGCTATATTTTCCGCATTTTACTACATTTCGCAACCAAACTTTGCAATTTTACTCATTTTAGTATCCTGTTTCCAGGAATGTACTTTTTTTGCCAAGTTAAAAAAATTAGTTTATAATGGGAATTGTTTGTTCTCATGCACTCTCATATCGTTGTTTGATCCTATAAAAGACTGCCGAGTATGGCATATTGCCATAGTGATTTTTTAATAATAATGTGCTAAGAAGTATTCTCTTTGTATACAGATAACATGGAAAAAACCCAGTTACAAGCAATGGACAATCGTATATTTGCCGCAGCTAGGCAATTCTTGTTGTGACTGAGAAATAATAATTTTAAACCCTAAAATTTCTCAGTATTGGCATCTGAAATACTTTGATTCTGATTTTGCATAAAGTTCATTAATTTGCCAACATACCAATTAAACAACACTTGTAACCAGTGGTGTAACGCTCATTAGGTAGGGTTAGTTAAAAAACTAACAGACATTCAGGGGCCCCCATCAGCCACGGCTTATCACCCAGAAAATTAGAAAATGTAAAACATGCAGGTTATTCCATCAACAAATATGGTAGCTGATTTTTTTTATTCCATCTCAAATAAAACAAAAGTTATTCTTATTAGTTGTTACATGTGTTGGAGACTGTTATTGTTTTTGTTATGGGCACTGAATTTTCCAGAACTTTTTATGAATATTGAATATAAATATAATATCTCAGTCAAACATTGACAACAGTCAACAAGGTCCCGCACACCAAATATGCCTAAGGGCCCCAGCTTGTCCTCCATTACGCAGATCTATGAAGAATTGTGTTTTATATAATAACTACAGTGAAACACGCAATTTGATTGGTCAACTGCCGTGCAGGATCAGACAATCCTGCACGGGAAATTCTGAACAGAAATTCTTGCACATAATTTTACAAATATACTCGCATTGTAAAGTTTCATTGTACGATACCTTTCGACTTTGAAGTAAGTTTGCAATTATTGAGACGTTGGTTTAGTTGTATGAATAAATTTCTGATCGATACATTGCTGTTCAGCAAGTAGCAACGCGTAGCGTTGAAATTCATCAGACCATGGCAAGTACAACATCTCTCACTAGTCGCTTCAAAGTTCAAACACTTCGTAATCTTCAAGTAATCAGGTGGACAATCTACAAAACTACTTTGGCTCTCTGTTTAGCGGGTTTTCCATTTCAAATCTCGTAAATTTTATGGAAAAAGTCTCTGTATTTTCGCTGTATATTTTCGCGAATTGGCGATCAAATTCTGTTCACATATGTTGTTGTTTTCAATAGCGTGGAGAGTAGCGATTCTCCGATTGGTTAATTGACTTAATTCACGATTGTTGTGAGAACTGCACATTTCATCAGTAATTTTAATCAAGTTAACTGTCGTTTCACTGTAGTAATTTTATAAAACAATTACCAAATGGTTTTCCCGTGCAGGATAGCATGATCCATGCACTTGGGATGTTGCTCGACTTTCGGAAAGCATAAAAATACCCTCGCCTACGGCTCGTGTATTTTCACGCTTTCCGAAAGTCTCGCAACATCTCTCGTGCATGGATCACGCAATCCTGCACGGAAAACCATTTGGTATTCCTTTAATATTACCTAGGACCTGATCATTTGAATTCCTGAAAAATGTTCACCACAAAATAATGTTGTTAAAAAGCTTGAAAATAAGTAATTTACAATCAGGGTCTGAAATTTAAATATTTTCTGAGTATCCAACTGGGATACCAGGATTCAAAGTTTAGTATCCCCCCTGAGAATGCAGTATCCCACTTCTGGATACTGGTTACCATAAGTATTCTACCCTGTCCCATCCATTAACTCTCGCTGTTACAAATTACAGTAACAACAGGAGATTCAATGTTCAGTCAGGTTGTCAACAACTAGACAATTCATTAATCCACAAAAATGCACATTATATGAGAAAATGCACATTATATCGGGAGACTATCAGAGGTGCTTAACATTTTCCTAATGTTTGAAATTTTCTTAGTATCCAGTTGGGATAGTCATTCACAGTCTGGTATCCAAAACCAAATTTTAGTATCCTGTGAATATCGGGATACTGCAAATTTCAGACCCTGAATTGGCAGTCTGTGTCATAGAATAAGAAATGAATAGAAGGGCAACTCGCGTGTACAATGCGTAACCAGTTTCAGTGCGCACGCGCGAGATCTCTCAAGCTCGCAGCCAGTAAAGCCAGTCAGTGCAATGGGGATTTGTATTACGAAATGTACATTTTGAT